GGAAGAGAGTGGTCTCAGGGCTAAAATGGGCCTTCTGAGCCTAAAGAAACCTTGCGTAGTCCCCAGGCCTCAAGCTGGCTGGGTGAGTGTTGGTGACGGTAGAGTGACATTGAGGGGCTGAGCTGCAGAAACCCGTGTCCTGGTCTGAGAGTTCTACGTCCACACTTCATTTCTGTGCCTTCTTCAGGGCTCCCCAGTCCCCGTCCCCCAACTCTAGTTATATATAAGCTTCACATGACCTTGAACAACTAGTAGAAACCACTTTTTGACGTCGGTCTTTGGGCCGGGAACTTTACTGTACTTAAGCCCGGTAAGAACCGTATTATACAAACGGAGGCTCAGAGAGGTTAAGTGACCTGCCCAAGGTCCCAGAGCAGTAAAGGAAAGGAGTGGAAGCCCAGCTCATAAACAGGCTCATAAAGCTGCACATTCGCTCCGTGCCCGGCCCGCTTCCGTGTGCCCTGGGGCTACGCAGCAGGGTGTATGTGCAGGGGGTATAAATAGTTCACACACGAGTCAGTGGCTGGGAGTGACGCAGCACAGGGGAGGCTCTGGGAACCCTGCAGGGAACGCAGGTCCTGAGGCCTGTGTCCCCCGCCCTGCAGGGGTGGGAGGGGGGGCTGGAGCTGGGGGCAGATGGGCCACAGGTCTCTGCGGGCGAGGCTGACGCAAGAGGATGTGGTAGAGGGCTGTGGGCCTCAGGAGGGTCAGGCAGGCCTACAGTCCCAGGCTCCAGTTCAAGCTGGAGGGGCCCTGTGGGGGGCGTGGCAGAGGCCCCTCTTCCCGTCTTTGGAGTCGGGTAAGGGGCCGCTGCCTGAAACCCCGTGACGTGCTGTGGACGGTGGCCTGGGGCGGGGGTCAGTCTTTCCTGGGGCAAGACACATGGGCGCTGCTGTTCAGGAGAACAAAACCCCACCGCTTTCTGGACGGCAGTGAAAAGTCAGCAATGACACGTCAGGGCTGGGGACAGACTGCCTGGGCTCTGGCAGGCCTGCCTCTCGAGCCTCCGGCCAAGGCGTGATGGGGACTCTCTTGCAGGGGCACCGTGAGGACTGACCGAGCTCATACATGCCAAGCGCCCAGCACAGTGCCTGGCACGTGGAGCTGACTCCAGAAATGGGATCCAGTTGCCTTTATTAAGCTCCTACTATGTGCGAGGCATTTCTTTACAGCTTCTGTGCTCAGCAGTCCCGGAGGGTCGGGATTACTTCCCCATGTGACTGACCAGGGAATGGGGATTGTAGGGGTGAGGGCACCGGCTCGGAAACCAGCTGGCCAGGGACTCACACCCCATCCCTGTGGTTCCCACACTCTTCTCCGCCGGCCCCCCTGCACCCCCTGAGCGCCGCCTTTATTTACCGCTCACGTGTACGGATCTCTCCTGCAGCTGGGGGGTGGCTCAGTGTCAGAGGAAGTGCAGACAACGTGTCCGAACTTGGACAGAGACTTGGACTCTGTATTTCTTGGTTTCTGGCAGCTCCCAGGCCTGGCTGGGCTGCGGCTTGAACCACTGCCTGCATCAATCAAAGGTCAATCAATGACTGGGTCTGGGCTCTATCCCGGGCAGGCTCTGAGTCCCAAGGGGACAATGCAGGGGCTGGCCATATGCCAGCGGATCAATCACCAAGAGGAGGTGACAGAGGTCAGGTGCTAGGTGGGAGTTGTGTCCCCCCAAGGAGGAGACACTGGGGGGAGGCTGTTACCATGAGGCTTGGAGGGAGCAGGCAGAGATCATGTGCCCTGGGCTCTGAGGTGGGTGGCCTTTGGGTCACTGGATCAAGCAGGTGCCAGGGTGAATGTGACTGAAGATGGCCTTGAAGGTTCTGTGTCCACATCAACTCTGCTGAGACTGACTGGGGTCCAAACCCCAGATCTGCCGCTTGGCTGGCTGGCTGACCTTGGTTAAATCACCTGACCCCCCCCCCCCCCCCCCAATTTTCCCATTTATATCATGGAACTCAAAGGACCCATCTCAGGACAAAGGCACAGATTAAAAGAGACAATCCACGTAGATTCCTAGCACAGAGCCTGGCCCACGGTAAGCACTTAATTAGCACAAACGGTCAATAACGACGGTAATAATAATAGAAACATTGTTATTACTACCCACCTTTAGGATTAAAGATTAAATGAGATGAAGAACATAAAATGCCTAGTACATAACAGGCATTAGAGCCTGCTAATTTAGAAATTAGAGCCTGCTAATTTCGTTGGAACAGTGGCCACTGAGAACTTTTTTGTGCCAGATACTACATTAAGTGCTTTGCACACACAACATAAAAACGGTGCTGATAAGAATGAAAACGGCAAAGAAATACGGGGGCTTCTCCCTTGGGCGCCCGTCCTGATGGCGCATGGCTGTGACGAAATGCTTGCTGCAGACTGTTCTGGAGGCAGGGGGTGGGCAAGATGGTCCGGGGCCGCCCCCAGCATCTCCCCCTCCTCTGAGGCTCCCACGACTCCCCCCACGAGGCCCGATTCCCAGACCCCACCATTTGGGGAGGTGGACAGACAGCAGGACAGCCGTTTGCTCCCTCGCCGGCTAGAGAGAGAGGGGGGGGAGCCCCAGCCCTGGGTTACTCTGTCCTTCCTCTCACAGGAAGGAAGGGACAAGGGGAGGGGGCTGTCACTGTGCCACCAGCAGGTGGATGACTGGCAACACAGGAGACACTCCCTGGCTGGGGAGACCCTCTCATCCATCACTCTCTCCCTGAGCTGGAACTGAGGGTGCAGGTGGCTCAGAGGGATCAGGGCAAGAGAGGCAGCACAGCCTGGTCTATCTGCTTCATGATATGTGGGGGAAATTGGGGCCCAGAGTAGGCAGCAACCAGCCCAGGGTCCCACAGCGGGTGGACTGCAGGGTCCCCAAAGCCAAAGGCTTTCCTTCTTCCCGCCTGCCTGCGTCCTTCTCCTTCCTGGTCCCAGAGAGGGTCCCGAATTCTCAAGCTTGCAGGGCTGGGGGACGCGGGGTTGAGAGCCCGGCCTGGGGCCTGCCTGGGAGGGCCAATTCTATCGGGCAGGACTGGCAACAAAGCTCGCGGGCTGGGAGCTCAGCGCTTTTCTGCAGCACCGGAGGGAGGCTGCGGGCCCTGGCACCGTGCCCACATTCCTACCCGCCTCCCCCTGAATAGTTCTCGGCGGGCAGGGCTCGGCAGCTGCCGCCCCGGATGCTGGTGACAAAATCCCTCCCATCTACCCTGGAGAGCGAGAGCGGAGTAGACGGCCACCGCCCAGACAGACTTTGCCTCGTTGCACCCTTGCACGGAGCAGGTCCCGCCCGGCCGGAGTTATGGCAGCGGGCAGCGGCTGGCTCTTACAGTGTGCGTCCCTGCTTCCTAACGATATTATCCTTAGTGGCTACTCTTTGCCGAGCACTTACTAAGCGCCAGGCACAACGCCAAGTGTTCCGTATCAGACCCTCACAAGAACCCTGCGAAGCTGGCATGACTATCCCTCCATTACAGACGACGAGACAGAGGCTCAGGGAGGAAGCCACTTGGCCAAAGCCCTGGTTGACAAGGACACGGCTGGGATCCGAACCCCGATCTGACGAAACACACACGCTTTTAGCTGCCATGTTATGTCCCGATGCTCACACACCTTGTACGAGAGAATCTCGGGCTGGGAGGGATACTGGAGGTGACTCATTCAGCCGTTCGTGAAGGTCAGATTCCTCACGCGGTTTTCCTGCTCAGATCTTGGAATATCTCTGGGCACAGGAAGCTCCCTACTTCACTCAGGGTAGCCCA